GGTGACACTTGATAGTAACCACTGACCTCTGCATGTATATATACAACCATGCACATACACACAACAATAATAATATAAATATTGTTATTACAACTATAAATAAATGTAGAGTAAATGGGAAAAACAGAGTGCTAAGAGCTCAATACTCCTGATCACACAGCTTGTTGCTGTCCTTTCGAGAAAGCACCCCTAGTAAAGCATGGCAGCAAATGTAATATGCTGCTGCCCACATTTGACACAGAATTGAACTCTGGGGTAATATGCATCAGGAAAACTGCCTCCAAATGAAGAATGGTCTGGAAATAATATAGGAACCTTATTTTTAGCAGAGAACAATCCAAAGCTCCAACAATAGGGAAATGACTAAGCCAATTATGATTGGTGAAGATGATGGACTCAGGTCAAGCAGCTGTTCACGTAAAACACAAGGAACTGTGTGTATGAAAAATCCATGCTTGAACAACATCGCAAAACCAGATGTTCATGTAGTGTGTGTTGCTGTGGGATGTGCTCTATGCTGTGAATGTGTTGCTCTGATTGGTTAATAAATTTAAAGTGCTGATTGGACAAGTAGCCAGGCAGGAAGTATAGGTGGGACAAAGAGAGAGGAGAATTCTGGGAAGTAGAAGGCTGAGGGAGGACTTGCTGCCAGCCTCTGCCTTGAAGAGCAGGATGTAAAGCACCGGTAAGCCACAAGCCACATGGCAAGGTATAGATTTATAGAAATGGGTTAATTTGAGATATAAGAGCTAGAGAGCAAGAAGCCTGAGCCATTAGGCCAAACAGTTTAAATAATATTAGTGTCTGTGTGTTTATTTGAGTCTGAGTGGCTGCTGACCCCAGGCAGGACTGGAGATAGCTCCAGCTACGGTGTGTTTGTCCTTTGAATGGAGAATAGGAGAGACTATAAATGCACACCTATAGGACTTCACAGAACGCTTCCTTAGAGCTGGGTTCTTCGTTGGCACATACATGCACAATGGACCCATGAGCTCAGGAAGTGTCATGGCTGAACTTCAAGATGTAACTCCCTACAGAGACCTGGTCCGCACCTGACACTCATTGAAAGGGGCCAGCATCCACTCTTTCCCTGGAGTCCGTTACAACCCACCCTTTGTGTCCCACCCCAGTTCCTTACTCCTCATTTTTCCGCACAGTGGATAGAAAAAAGTTTCAAAACCAAAGCTGCTTACTAGCCGCTGCTGCTGCTAACCAAACAAAAATCCTAAGCACCCAGTGGCATCAGTTACAGTGTAGATCTCCTCAAATGTGAGTTAGTGCATGGGTGTCTAATGGGAAGGTCACTGGGATTGCTATGTTTTGAATTTGGTACAGCTACTTGATTTTCTACACCTCTCTCCTGGTTAGCTTTCTGTTGCTGTGGTAACCACCATGACCAAAAGAACACTGGGAAGGAAAGGGTTTGTTTGGTTTGCACTTCCATGTCATAGCCCACCAATGAGGGAAGCCAAGGCAAGAACCCGAGGCAGGAATCCGGAGGCAAGAACAGAAGTAGTGACCGTGGAGGGGGGCTGCTCACTCGCTGCTCCCCGGGGCTTGCTCTGCCTGCTTTCTTATACCACCCAGTAGATCACCAAACCAGCACTCCGATGTCAGATTTATAACAGATACAGAGAAACCTGCCCAAAGGAAGGAAAATAATGGAAAAATTCCCACCGGGCCTCGCCCAACCCCCATCAATCATTAATCAAGAAAATGCCCCAAAAGCATGCCCACAGGGCAACCTGAGGGAACCAATTCCTCAGATCAGGTGCCCTCTTCCCAGATGACTCTAGTTTGCCTCCATTTGACAAAAACTAACCATTACGACCTCCATTTTCTTCAGTTGCAAAGTGGGACTAACAATAGTACTCTATTTGGTTGTTACAAGGGTCAAATGAGGTGACTGGGTGGGTCATGCCAGTGCCTGCCTGCCGGGCAGTAAGTTAGTATTTATATTTTATTGAATATCATCACTGCTTACCACCACACCTTTTCTTTCAAAAAGTGCCCAATGCTCTCAATTTGAAATGAAAGTACCAGGTTTCAGGTTTCATTATCTATATGATAAAAGGCACAGACTGGATGAGTTGCCACTTTCTGTGATGCATGCAGAAGAAAATGAAGCTGTTTTATTGATGTTTTTGTGTTATGTCAAGAAAATTAAGAAACTTAAAAAAAAGTAAAATGTGCTTTTAAGAAAGACTTTTTATTAATACTTATTAAACAATGAGTCGATAAATACTGAAGTTTACCTTGTTTAAATGTTCTGAATAGTTTTATAAATGTCCTGGTGAAACATTAAAAGGTTGTATTTCTTGTGACTAGAGGGATAGCTCAGTGGTTAAAGCACTTGATTTTCTTGCAGAGGACCTGTGTTCAATTTCCAGAACCCACATGGTAGTTCGCATCTGCCTCCTGTCCCTCCAACTCCAGGGAATAGGACACCCTCTTCTGACTCTATGGACACCAGGCATCCATGTGTGGTATACACATGTACATGCTAGCATTCACATATACATAAAATACATGTTTTTTAAGGGCTATTTTCCAGCAAAAAGTGATACCACCTTTGAAATAAATAATGAATGTTCTACCAAGTAGGATTTAATATTTCCCCAGTAATTTTCCACATGACTTGGATTTCTATACTTGTATAATTTTATAGGGCCTTTGTATTGGTGTTACTTTCTCGTAGTATTTTAATTTTCCCAGATAAACTCATTGAAATTCCTATCAAGTCAGAGCAAATCTGTACCTCTGGCCTTAGGGCCTCCCAGGAAGCTCAGTGGTGGTCATTTCTTCTCCCCAGAACAGTTAAGGCTCTGAAAAACACTAGGGGGCATGATTTTCTTGATGTGGCTCCTGCTCTGCCCTCTGAGTGGAAAAAGGGAAAGGAACAATAAAAGGGAAGTAGGTACATCATAAACAAAACAGACCATGTGTTTTAGCAAAAATATAGACTGTGCTCCTGAGCCCATGGTGGACAAGAGTGTTCAATCTAGGTTTCTAATTGCCAGACAGGAATGCGGAACTCCAAAGAGGCGAGGCCCTTGGTTGAGGTCACTTTGTATACATTATTGGTAAGACAAAGCTGGAGTTCAGAACACAGCCAGCCACTAAGCCCCGCCTTCCTTGTGTGACAGGTAAAACACGGAACCAACAACCTGGAAAGCCAAGGCACACATTTCTGGAAACACGTTCTCTAGTGTGTGAGCAGGTAGTGGGATGGGTGAGGGTGTTTGTGTGTGCACGTGGAGGCCAAAGGTTGACTTTGGGTGTCTTCCTCGATTGTCTCCACCTTTTTGTGGGGCGGTGGGGGCAGTCTTTACTGAATCTGGAGCTCATGATTCAGCTAGGGAGGCTGGCCAATGAGCTCCAGGGATTCCCCTGTCCCCAGTCCTTCTCCACCCCACTGCAGCTAGAATTTTCCTGCCTTGCTCACAGTCAGGACAAATCTTTGTCACCTGCCAGTCCCACAGCCACTCAGACCCAACCAAGTAAACAGAGAGACTTATATTGCTTACAAACTGTATGGCCATGACAGGCTTCTTACTAACTGTTCTTATAGCTTAAATTAATCCATTTCCACAAATCTATACCCTGCCACACAGCTCGTGGCTTACTGGCATCTTTTCATGCTGCTTGTCAGGGTGGCTCCTGGCAGTGACTCCTTCTGCCTTCCTGTTCTTTTATTTCTCCTCTCTGTTAGTCCCGCCTAGACTTCCTGCCTAGCCATGGGCCAATCAGGTTTTATTGACCAATCAGAGCAATTTGCCATATAGACCATTCCCCCAGCACAGCCAAGTGCAGACCATCTCAGACACCTGCACTCAGGCCCGTGGTCCTAATCATCCTCTATGTGGACCTGCTGGGTAAAGCCTTGAGGAACCTGAGAACGGGCTCCCACAGGACATACAGAACATCCCACAGTACCGTACCCCCACCGGTGTTGGGATTTCAGGTGTGTGCTTCTGCAGCTGGCTTTAAGGCGACTCTGGCGTTCTGAACCCAGGCCCTCACTCCAGGACGTCACGCACTTAACTGAGCCCCTCTCACTGCCCTCCATCCTTGTTTTTTTTTCCAAGGACCAAGAGATCTGCCGGGCAAGCTGAAGTGTATTTTTAAACTCTATACAACACAGAGATGCTACCTGATGACTCTGCCTAAGCCACGGTATAATGCCTTTGTCTCGGCACGGTCAGAATTGGTTGTGGAACCTCGAGGCAACGGAGATGGTGGGACTATGACAGTGATGGTGGGGGCCCTGTGTGCTGAGTACTCATGCGCTCGTGCTAGGTACTTACTTACCTACGGTTTTCATTTAAAATCTGAAACGGTAACTTCCTAAGGTGTGCGTCACCTTATCCACATTTGTAGGTGAGAACAGTGACGGCTAGAAGTTTCAAGGTTCCTCAGATTCACACATCCAGTAAGGAACGTTGTGGTGAAACCAGATGGATGTTTTATATTTTATTCACCATTTTTCCAAATACCTCTTATCTATAGCCAATAAGATAGAAAAGAACTTACGGTCTGAGATGGCAGAAACACAGCCGCTATTTGGAACTAATTTGGGGCTTTGGGGCTGGTGATCAAATGAGGCAAGTCCCTACTAAGCTAGAGCCCTGTTCTTTTTGTAAATGTAAGTAGGGGAAGTGCTTCAAAGTTGATGGATCATCGTGGCACTCAGCAGAGGCTGAGGTTAAATCCACTTCAAGGTACCAGTCCAGCAGCCCGAGCGAAGATGCTGAGCTGCAGACGACAAGAGTGAGCTGGCCCATTCTCCGATACCTCTTTTTCTTCCCAAGCACAGTCCTTTCACCTGGTTGTGTCTCCATTTTCCAGTATGGAAAGCAATAGGAAGTGTGAAACACCACACAGGTGATGATGGAGATGCTGTCTGTCTAGAACCCGCAAGAGGCACCCGCCTCCTCACTATCCTGTGCTCAAGCGAGTGGCATCCATCCTCCAGTTCACAGTTGTATGGATGTAGGCTCAGCCCGCTGCATGCAGTGTCCCACGCTGAGCACTCTGGGGGAGATGTGACAGTTGACATTCATTGTCAAGCTGAGTGGACTCGGAGCCACGCCTCTGGGCATGTCTATGAAGGTGCCCATGAATGGCTGACCCCAGAGAGGCTTCACTGAGGAGGGGAAACCCACCTTGAATGTGGGTAGCTCTGTCCCATGGCTTGGGGCTACAAACTGGACAGAAAGAGGGAAGGGGCGTGCCAGCCAGCATGGACTCTTAGTTTATTTTCCTGCTGCTGTGATAAAGTATTCTGGCAAAAGCAACTTAATGGAGAAGGGGTTTATTTTTAGCTCACAGTTCAAGTCTGTCATGGTGGGGAAAATCAAAGCATCAAGATCTGGAAGCAACTGGCCATACGGCATCCAGAGTCAGGAAACAGAAAGAGATGGACGCAAGCTTGCTACTACTTCTCGGCTCACTTTACCCAGTCCTGGATGCCCTGCCAGGGAATGGCCTGGCCCACAGTTAAGATCAGTTACTGCAATCAAGATAGCCCCTCACAGTCTATTAGGGTTGTCTAACAGGCTAACCTTATAGACATAATCCCTCACAGGTGTTTCCAGCAGACATATCACCAATTGGTTGTGTGTATACGCATGTGTGCATGCACATCTGGGGACCAGTGGGGAGGGGATCTTCATCTATTGATTCTAATCCTTTTTTATTTTTTTTTCAATATAAAACATTATGAAAATATAATGTACAGGTACTGTATTTACGTAATAGCTACCTCTCCCTCTTCCCATCCAACTCTTCCCATGTCTCCCCAATTCTCTCCAAAATTCATGATCTCTCCTTCTTTAGTGATGCACAGATCTATGCACGCGTATGTATAAATACAGCCTACTGATTCCATTCAGCATTGCTCAAGTGTATACACGCCTGGAAGTGGGCACTTGGTCCACTCCCGAGTGGTCACTCTTCCTTGATTTTTGAGGAAAGGTTTCTTGAGTCACCTTGGTGACCTAGATACTGTCATGTTGACAATGAGCACTAACTACCAGACTATGAGCATCATGTAATCAGTGGCTTCCTACACCAGCCATCACGTCTTCTTAGCCACAATGGACTGTATCTCTTCAAATCTGGAGCCAAAATATATCCCTCCTCCCTTACACAGTGTCTTATCATGGATTTGGTCACCATTCCCAGGGAAATAGCGCAGCAGATGAGTCAAAACACGTTACCCTCTTCGATGAGCTTGTGTGGGAGAAAAGACCCCAGTAGCTATAGTGCTGGGATCGAATGTGTGTGAACAGGAGGTGTTTTTCTGGAACACAAAAGCAGGCCTTATCAGCATGGCTGTCATGCCCAGACTGATGCTTAAAGGTTCTTGCAAAATGAATTTACTGGGACTTAGAGTTGGACACAGGATCCCTGGCTGCAGTCGGAGTCTTTTGGAAACCCTTATGAAAATAACCATGTCAAAGCATGGACACATGGACACCACAGTCTTGTAGCAGCTGACTTTTCAGGAGCCGGGTTCAGGGAATGTGCAGAGAGGAGAGTATGGGAAGGGGAAAGCAGGACGTAGAGTCCGGGGACCCATGGCTCCTGAAGGACGATATTAGACCTCCTCACATAGTTTACAGCAGGCCTGTCCAGACACTACCAAACTTGGGGGATTTCCTGCTGTATATTTGGATTCTTCTGCTTTCAGTGTTGTGAGCTTTCAACATACCTGTTAGCAGGGTTGAAAAATCATCTGACCACGAAAACCAGATGCAGAGCTCCTAAGTCCTTGGAAGGCACCTGAGACTGACTGACGGATGCTGTACTGGGGACTTCATCCCCTCAGTTTCCACAGAGCCTCTGGCGCCTCACATTTGCTCACCTGGGGCAGCAAGGGAGGCTGGGGGCTCTACCCTGCTCTCCTCTGAGAGTCAAATGCCCTGCTGCATTTTTAATGCCACCCCAAGACTGTGCCAAGTTTCCAGAAAGTCTGCCAGAGTTAGTTGCTTCGTGTTCATAGGCAATTCCAAGGCTCAGAAAATAAACAAGTGTGAGTCAGTATTCTGCATCTTATATTTTTAGAGAAGATCAGCATCTAGAATGTGCCACCTGGTCCAACATTCTGAAAGTTCTTTTTCATGCCATGATCACAGCCACATTATTATTCTTTTTTTCCCCCTTCCTTTCCTTCCTTCCGCTGGATATGTGGGAACCGCCTGCGCCAGGGGACATGACTCATCAGACTGTTCCACAGTGAGTGTGACCTCAGGAGGTACTCACAGAGGCCAGAGCCCCTGGCCCATCCTCCATGGTGCTGGGGACCAAGAAGCCACAGTCTCCTGGACAACCAGATGATCGCCCTGAAAATGCCCTCAATTGTGGAATCTTTTGTGGAGGTTTGTCTAGCGTCTTCTAGTGTAGGGGTTCCCCTGCTTACTAAAGAAGACACTTGAACTGAAGGCACTAAGCCAAATGAAAAAAAAATCTGTTACTAAAATTCAAGGTCATTTTATCTTTCTTTAAAAAAAAATACAAACCTATATCTACTCATTAAATCCAGAAAATAATTATTAATTGTATAAAAACTTGACTGTAGAGAGATATAAAAAAGAAAAAAATGACAAACACCTGTAAGATCATCATGGAAATATCACCCCTTCTAACAGTTTGATATATTCATTACCTATATGTGTTTTTTGTTACTTCCTATATTTAAAATTATCAAATGTATATGTATTACTAACTGTTCTGTATGTGTGTATGCATGTGTGTAGACATAAGTACATTTGTGTATATGTGTGTGCATTCACATGTAGACACAGGTGCACTTGTGTATATGTGTGTGTGCATACATGTGTGTAGACACAAGTGCATTTGAGCATCTGTGTGTGTGTGTGTGTGTGTGTGTGTGTGTATAATGTGTGTAGACACAGGAATATGTGTCTGTAGAGATCAGAGGTAGTTTCTACTAACTGCTCTCCACCTTGGTTTTTTTTTTTGTTTGTTTGTTTGTTTGTTTGTTTGTTTGTTTTTTAGGTAAGGTCTCTCACTGAATCTGTGACTCACTGGCTGCCTAGACTGGCTAGCCAGCAGAATCCAGGAAGTCTCTCTCTGCCTCCCAGCAGCAAGGTGACAGGCACAAGGTCCCCTGGCTTGACTTTGGTGTGTTTTTCTGTTGCTTTGTTTGCCTCATTTAGATTTTTCTTGGAGGACGTTAGTGCCCTTTCCTGTGCAGTGAAAACCTTCTCCAAGGTTAACTTCTCTTCCCACACCCATGATGCTATCTCATCCCCCCTTACTTTAAAAATTGTGGGCATGTCTAGGTGACATATTTGTGTGTACATGGCCGTGTACGTGTGCATGTGGGTGTGCCCACAGGTGTGGAGGCCAGAGGTCCAAGTCAGTGTCATCCTCCATCATTCTCCACTTCACTTTTTGTTTTGATTTCAAACAAGTTCCCTCAGTGAACCTGCCGTTCATCATTCTGTCTGTTTGGGCTGGCAAGCAAGCTCTAGGAGTCCATCTCTGCCTCCGCAGCCCTGTTACCCCGGTATGTGCCCGCACACCCAGCATTTTCATGGGTGTTGGGATCTGAACTCAGGTCCCCATGTGGCAAACACTAAACCAGCTGAGCCACCTCCCCAATCCCTCACCCTCCTTACTTGAAGACCTTCCCGAGTCCAGGTAAAATTTCCGGCAGGAGAAGCTCACACTCCACCTGGGTAGACACTGAAGAGGCATAGGCTGGCCACAGGCTTGACTGACAGAGCAGAGAGGAAGTGACTGGAAGCCTTTTCAAGAGCCTGCACACTACTTCCTGTTCTGTAGTGAGACAGTCTCTTTGACTTAGTGGAACCCCGTGTGGTCCATTCAGTGTGGCCCCCCAAGGCCCACCTGGCATGTGTGTTCCCTTTCAGCTGGGTTTACCCCATTTGGGACAGAGTCCATTCAGAGCAGTTGTAGCGACCTTCTGTTTATAGCAGGTCTTTCCTCAAGTAGAAGCACGTGACATCAAATTCCAACACACAAAATGTTTGTTCCTAAAAACAGCAGGATTCTTACTATGTCCCCAGAAATTATAGAGGCCAAGAGGGTTCAGTCTTATTCGGTTAACTACTTCATAATTATGGAAAAAAATGTCATCTGTGCTCTCATAAGTGATTAGTCTAGGGAGAAGTTGGAACCCTCTGACCATCAAAGAGGATTTCACTGTGATACAGATCTTACAATCCAGATTTCAAGTATTTGCACACCTTTTTTTTTTGGTATGGTAAATGCCTTAGAGTTTCTATTGCTGTTAAGAGACACCATGACCACAGTGACTCTTACAAAGGGCACTATTTCATCGGGGCTGGCTTACAGGTTCAGAGGGTTAGTCCATTATTGTCATGGCGGGAAGCATAGCAGTGTGCAGGCAGACGTGGTAAAAGAGGAGCCAAGAATTCTACATCTCGATCGGCAGGCAGCAGGAAGAGAGAGAGCATGAAAGACACTGGGCCTGGCTTGGGCATCTGAAACCTCCAAGCCCACCCCTAGTGATCCACTTCCTCCACCAAGGCCACGTGTCCTAATATTTTCAAACGGAGCCGCTCCCTATGACCCTGTGGGGGCCATTTTCATTTACACCACCACAGCAAACATTATAAACATAAGCTGTTTGAGATGTGATGGGTTCCGACCAATGTCTCTTTCCACTAGGGGTCTCCATTATGCTTCCTTTAGATCAGGTGGCTCTGGAGCAGCTTTGGGAATTTAGGAGACATCATTGAATGGGACACTAAATTAGAGAGACAGTTTAGACTTAAAGAGATACATGTTTGTAGCCCTAAGTCGTTTTTGATAACAGCTATATTATTGCAATTGCAGAGAACTGGCTTCTGGTAATAAAGCCCGCATTTGTTGTGTTAACTCAGCTCAGGTTGTGACACCAAGGTTAAAGGTCATAGGTCATATCAAAATATAAATACAATTGATAACAACAGTGTCAGCAGTATGTGGGTAATAAAGAAAGGTCAATATTTGAAATACACATAGAGAGATTCTGGTCTGTGGGAAGTGCAAACATAACTGGCTTGTATTCTAATTATCAATAATAAACTCAAATTTGTTGCCTAGGGGTGGTGAAGGAAGTGTGTCTTCATCCTTTCCATCATAAAAGGACTTTCCAATTACCATCAAATAAAGAGGCAAAATGTCATATAAAAAATTAAAAATCTAAGAGTACAGAAGTATTGCAGATACTAGGTATTGAATACCATTGTGGCTTCTCTGGATTTTTTTTTTTTTTTAAGTCTAGCATCCGATGACTTTTAACAAATCTGTAATTTGTTTTGATTTTTTTATTCCAAATGCATAATGACCTCAGCAGCTAATTTTGTGTTCCAATAGGCTTCAGGTCCCTCAGACCTGCCCCTGACACAGCTGCCCTCTCCCCTAGGCAGGGGAACTTGGTCAATCCTGACTCTCCTTCATCTGCCCAGCTTCTCCCTCTCTCCACCTGCCTCCTGGCCTCTCCTTCCTCCTGGCCTCCCCTGCCCTTGCCGGCAGTAAATGGGCCCCTGTGTCCCCATCTCATTGGCTCCTGCCACTCTGCTTCATGCAGCCACTGTCTTTCAGGTCCCTGCTCATCTCTTGTTCCATTTCCCTGGCCCAGCTTCTGACCCTGAGGCCTTGTCAGAGCTGTGAACCTCCTCCTAGTCAGGACGAGGGTCTAGACTGTGGGAACCAATCAGAACAGGTTCCCCAGTGGTGATTAGAGAAGATGCCACTCGTCTGGGGTGGGGGTAGGTGACTCAGAGCCTGGGGTGTTGGGTCATTGTGGTATACCATGGTGACTTGGCATCAGAAGGCAGGGTCCAACCCCTGGGGATGGCAGGGGAAATGGGTTCTGTCTAATAGACAACCCATGCTAAAGGTCATTCCGAGTCTAATTTGAGCATTCAAATTTGAGAATATGAAAACCAGAATGGTCAGAGAAAGAAACAAAGGCCCTGGCTGTTTGGGACTTTGCTCAAGGCATCTCCTCTGTGTGGCTCCCAACTTCCTATGAGAGAGAGAACAGCAAAGACACCATTTCCACCAAGGCTGCTTTGCTTTGCAAACGACCTTGAGACGAGCTCAGCTCCACCGGAAAGGCTTCAGGGAGAAAGGATAGGCCATGTCGTTTGCAGCCGCCCATTCCCCATCCTTGGACGATGAGTGGCCTTTGACCTTTAATGAGCATCTTTAACCAATGTCCAAACATAACATCTCCCGGGTCTTGAGTAGCAAAAGGGTGGGTGACAGAGAGACAAGAATCACAGAAGGTCACATGAATCCCCGAGACTCTTCCCTCACTTCCACAAGAACTTTAGTTCTCCCTCTCACCATGCTCTCTCCCCATTATTATTTCTACGGACAGGGAAGTGAGTATCCTAAGAGATGGTGAAAGTCGCCAGTCCCTGACGTGTCCTGCAGAGAGGTTTAAATTGGTTCACAGTAAGCAGAATGACTCAAAGGTCAAAGTGTGGGCTTTAGAGACCAACAGGGCCAGGATGAGCCCCTTTTCCACACAGCCTTTGGGTCCAAGCAGGAACTATAGAAATCTCACTGCAGGATTCTGCAGAATTTGTTCCAACAAAGCATGAAGCCACTAAGAACGTCCCTTATGTAGAAAAAACAAAGACTTATGTAGACTAGGGTTTTTATGTCCCTTCGATTTCAGTAGGCTATGCCAACAGCTGCCAGCAGGAACCTTAGGATGCAGCAATTGCAGTACGGGCCATGTTAGGCTTAGTGCTTCGCGAGGAGAAATACCAAGTCAAAGAAGGTTCCAGGTTTCTCGACAGTTCTCTGACACTTCCACAGGTTGTTATGCACCATGAGTCTCTAAGAAGAAGGGGAAGCAAGGTAATGTTTTCAAATTTCATTAGGTATGGAACTCTGTGTGTGTGTGTGTGTGTGTGTGTGTGTGTGTGTGTGTGTATGTGTGCATACACACATATGGATCTGTCTTTCGGTGTCTGTGTGTCTATGCCTGTGTCTGTGTGTAGTATCCCAAGGGATCTGTGCTTGACAGACTATAGTTTCATATGTAATCACTGACCTTAGCATACAAGAGAATTCACCATGCCTACTGCCCTTTTCTGTCCTCAGTGGCAAGCATTTAGGACCACTTGGATGCCTTTGGGCTGTTTACTAAATACCAAGGGTCTCTCTCCACCCTCTCATGTTCCTCTGAGTCCTTGGAGCTATGCCCTTCTGCAAAGCCATCAAAGACACTCAGCTCAGAGGATAGTTACCACCTCTGCAATCAAGGGCATAACATCCTCTGCATGGTGGCATACCAGGCCGCTGTTATGGCCGTGCCTTGTGCTTTGGTTCTGGCTATTTGGATCAAGTGGATTTTCCAATATAAATAAAATGGGAAGGCTTTAAAAAAAAAGATCTTTTAATGGGAAATCAAGACCATATACCATTTGTCCAAACACAAAATAAACTTGGCCTCCTGAGATGTTTGGCCACATCATTTCACAACTGTTACTAATGGGAGACCAGACCCACTAATTGCTCAAAT